ATAGTTACAAAGGGATGTGATATGTTTCGTTACAGCTACCTTCGTAAATATTCGGATGAATTGCGTAGTTATTGTACCTGTATATGAACTTAATGATGACCTGATGCAATCTTGCTTTTTGAGAAAGTCAAACGCAGCTATGAAGTGAGATATATATGTATATGTTTCAGAAAGACTAATTATTTTTGTGATTACATCATTTAGAAGTATCAGAAATTTCTTTACGGAGAGAGAGAGAGAGAAGGTGAAGGGGACGAATAACAACCGAACATCATGTTCTTAATGAGTATTTCCCAGGATTTGAAAAAGAAAAAAACGTTTTGTCCATCAAAGGAAGGCGGAGCTTCTCTACTTGTCTTGTCTTCTAATGAGATACTTATGAAGATAATAATTATGCCGATCAGTATAGGTAAATATTTCCTGTCTGAAGGTATCTCAGTGCTTACTTCTCATGAGAAAATTCTACAGATCTCAAGGCTTGTTGTGTTCATTATTTTTATGAGAATAGGAGACCTAGCTCTTCTATTGCGAAATATATTGTAGAGGAGACAGGACATAAAACTGATGCCTGCACACGCCTTTTAAACCCATCTATAAAACGTGTTTGTAGGAAGGCGTATCCTAAAGTTTGTGAAGCCCCAGCTGGCAATTAGAAATTTTAAGCCACCTTTATGGGTTCAAAGCAACAACTCGTCATCACATCAAACCACCTTTCTTGGTAAACTCTGTTTTGATATTAACCAGGGTAGATGTACTATTAACCCTGCTGTTTGGTTTAGTGATTAATCTTCAATGTTATGCTGACCTTGAATATGTCATTTTAACTTGACCTAAGTCTATTTGTATTTCTCACCTCTTAACGATTTATTAATTTCATATATACACATTCCTATGACAGGTCCGTCTGTGATCACATTATTCGAAATGTGTGAAACAAAATAATCGAGCAAAGAATATTCTTTTCGATCAATTCCTCTTCTGGCTCTACAATTATATATGTATATATATATATATACACAAAATATCTAAGACTGGTAGTTAATAACAATATTAGTGTTTTTTAAATAATATCGATTTGTAAAGTAAAATCACAATGGAATTACAGTTCATTAAAGATGCTTAAATTATAATAATAATAATAAAGATATAATAGCGAATAGAATACCAACTAAAATTAGGGAAATTGCACAAAAATTTGGGATTATTCAAACCTGGATGGCCAAGGTGGTAATGACAATGTTTGAACTAACTTCTTTTGGATGCATAAATTAGGCTTGTTAATGTGGATCCACACAGCCTCAGTCGAAATCTTAAGGCCAAAATTGAGATTCGTAGGTATGCGGTAAATGACCCTGAAAGCATGATTGACGTCAATCTTATGTTCGCTCTCCACAAGATGAGACAGAATAGCTCTACGAATGGATTTTGTTTGACCTTTGTTTAACCACTATGCAGGGTGATGTTCGGAAATTCGACGAGAAACAGGCCTTATTGTGCAACCTATGTAACTGGCTCGACAGGAGCAGTGAAATTGGTAGATACACATAGATGAGGCAAAATGTGTTGTGCGCGAATACACATTACACGATTCAGACAAATAACATCTTCTCATTGCTACTTTATCTAAATTCATAAAGGGAACTAACTGTTTTATACATTTCTTCTATTTTCATCAGTATTTTTTAAGAAGCATATTTTCTTATTCTTTTGATTTGTTCGTTTAAGAATTAATTGTTCATGAATAATTGTCATTCAACAAATTTTGGCTTTTCTATGGCCACTTCAATCAGTTAGTTGTACAATCACAATTATATATCCGATTATTTTTCTGTGTGTGTGTGTGTGAACATTAGCTTTGTCAGACAAGAATAACACTTACTAAGGGTTGTCGTTTACGTAGTCGAAATGTTTCAAAAAACTGTGATGAATGACCGAATTGTAGCTAAGGGAGACGGGGAGGTGCAGTGAAGATTAGTATGAGGGTAGTGGTGAAGGGTTGTCAAAAATACATAGTTGTTTATGTTAGTCAATGCATAAGAGAAGTTGAATAGGTGTTTTGTGTTTGCGCAATAAGATGAGTAATATAATGAGTGAGTTTGGATTACAATGCATGAGAATTATGTAAGAAGTTGTGAAGAAATACGGGAGTTATAAGGAATCAGAAAATCAGTCACACAAATATCAAGTGAATAGAAATCAACACAGTTGTTGTCATGATAGTAGAAGTGGCTGAATGATTTTCTTTTGTATACATAACTCTGGTTTCTCCAATTGCATAGCTTAGGCTTGAGCAATTCGAAAAAGTGACACGATAGCGTATTGCCTTTAGTAGGTTATTCATGATTCTGTAGATTACTTTAAAGCAGGAGACGTTTGTTGAGATGGAATGGTTAGTGTTGACAAGGTGTTCGATGACCACACTTCTTATACAGCCACTAGCATCATTTTGCAGCTATAGTGTGGGGTAATGTCCTCAAACGCTTTCGGACAGGATACGCTTTAGACGACCGATGTAGCTGGCTGGCACCGCAGCAACAGGTGAACTGATATATGCACTTTGACATAAGAATAGAACTTAGGCACTATGGCAGAGTAGAATTCCATTGTGGGTAAAATTTGTTTTGATAAAGTTTCACACAGTGTGACACTGTATTATTTACTGATGACGTTTCGAGCACAATTTATCGCTCATAATCATATCAAGGCACTACTCACATACCTTTCTAACTTCGTTTAGATAATTCCATTATTTTCCATCGTTTGACTTGATTGGTAGTAGTATTTTCCATATTTCCGGTATGAGTGATGACTCATTGCATCCTATTGCACGTGTTGGGTGTAGACAGAATGAAGAAGGATTCAGTAATTAACCCTTCTCTCTGCCTACCTATATTACTTCTTAGATTTTCGACCCTTTCCCACCAAACATATTGTGTGGTTGTGTGTTAATGTATGCAGTTCAATGCAGTGATTAGCTTTTTTCTAAATTCCTTAACTTTGCGGGGTAAACAATTCTAACCGTAGCTAAATTTTTTTCAATTCATGGACAATCCCCATCCAGACATTAATGAAAACAAAACACGTAGATCAGCGAAGAGTCTCTTTTCGGCGAATTCATCCACGCTTAGCTGTACAATCGCAAATATATATGTGTTATTTTGTATGTATTTGTGCATTAAGTTTGTCAAACAAAAATATAATTGCGTGGAGGATTTAATCATGAGCTGACATCAGTTAGAGAACCACTGGAAAACCTGGGAGTACTGGACAGCTGTTTCGTCCTAGTTTGGGACTCCTCATCAGTACGCACCCACCGCCATCGTTCGAACCCAGGACCTTCTGGTTACAAGGCGAGCTCGTAGACCATTGAGCCACTGGGACCCGATCCAGTGGTCCTTGAATTCTAACTTCCGCCAGTTCACGACATAGCGCGACCACTAGTGACTGGCCCTATCCAGGCAGTTAACCTGGGGTTCTAGTGGGGTAGGGTACAGCAGGTCGAAGACGAGGCAGTAACTCATCGAAGAAGACATTGCGAAGTGGTCGTGCTATGTCGTGAACTGGCAGAAGTTAGAATTCAAGGACCATTGGATCGGGTCCCAGTGGCTCAATGGTCTACGAGCTCGCCTTGTAACCAGAAGGTCCTGGGTTCGAACGATGGCGGTGGGTGCGTACTGATGAGGAGTCCCAAACTAGGACGAAACAGCTGTCCAGTACTCCCAGGTTTTCCAGTGGTTCTCTAACTGATGTCAGCTCATGATTAAATCCTCCATGCAATCAAACAAAATCCCTACAAAATCCAATACTTGAAAAATATAATTGGTTATGGTTATTATAACTAAACAGGTGAAGATTGGTAATACAAGTCAAGAAAATAGGTGTTAATGAAATTAGGGTAGTAACAAAAGTGATGAATTTTCACAAACAGTTGTTGAAAGAAGTTATGCAATAATAATATGCATAGTTTGATGAGTGAGTTTTACTCAGGATGCACATAGAAACAAAGTAGATGATACGAAATTACATAAGAGTTCTGAATGAATATAAGAATTATAAGCAATTAAAGAACAGACAAAGAAACAAAATTAAGTCATCAAAATCAAAAAAAACTCAAATCAAATCAAAACATTGTGACCATGACAGTAGAAGTGGTTGAGTAATCTTCTTTTATGTGTACAGCTCCAGTTTTTCTATGTGAATGGCCATAGCTTCAGCGGTAAAAAGAAAACGAAACCGTATTGCCTTTGGTAGGTTATTCTTGACTCTGTAGATTAATTCGAAGGAGGCGTTTGTTGAAACGGAATTATCAGTGTTAACCAGATGTTCAATTATCGCACTCCTTATTGTACCACTACTGCCTTTTCTCAACCATGCTGTATGGATAGTGTTCTTGAATCCCATTAGACAGGATGTGCATCCAACGATAGATGTACCTGGCTTCCAAGATGCAGTTGAACTGATATATGCACATAGAAGTGATCATATGTGGGATATTGTCCTTGAGGCTTCCGCAGATCAGTGGACGACTGGAGAACACTATTCTTAGCGTTTACTGCAAAAAATGTTCTTCTCAGAGATGATATGATCCTTCTCTTGAGAATATCGCTTGCTAAATCTCCCTTGAAATCCAAGTTCATGTAGAGTTTCTTTTTAGGCGCAATAAAAGTTTCATTTCTTCGAATTCTCGGTTTGATATTTTTGTCGATGAATCTTATTGGGTATCCATTTTAGATGAAGATTTCTCTTAGAATATCTAATTATGTTTCCAGAACGTCGGGACTACAGATGCGTCGGATACGGGTGGCAAGTGATTCAATTAAATTCCGCTTTTGTTGAATGGGTACCCACCCAGCTATTCCACGTAGGTTATCTATGGATCGATCTTCTTAGACTCCCATCAGTTCTTCTTGTTAGTAGTTGCACATCAAGAAACGGGATTTTTCATAATCAAATGCCACTTTACAAGGGTTTATCACTTATTCCCTTGATTATTTTTGTAGCCATCTGCTTGTGATTCAACGTTGACAAGTTTGAACAATCCTCGAATAACATTTTTACCTCCTGGCGTACGAATAATTCAACGTTCTGTACCTTTATATTTAATTGAAAGTGTGCCAAGTATTCATTTGCCAGTGAAGAAACAAGGTTAGTCTCTATTTGGTGTCTAGTGTCTTGTTGTTTTCTTTTTATGCATTGGTACTGCCTGAAGTCTAATAGTCATTTCGTCATTTGGTCATTAGACGGAAAGAGACTTACCATCTCAGATAGATAGTTTCAAACAGTCGGTAGAATACGGTGTAATTCACATCCGAAACAGAAAAAATCATGGTTTGTGATATGTATCCACATATATATATTTATGTGTGTGTGTGTGTATGTTGGTCTCTCTTTCTGTTTGCTCGCTTAGTCTGTGACCATTTCACTTGTATGAACTTGTCTCCTTTAACAACGTATATTCTCCTTATATTATATATAATATGAGTGTTGTTGACAGTCCGTTGCTTAGTGACATATATCCATATATGGTGGTTGTTGACATGTCTGCTATATTTTGCTATATATATATTTCGTTCTCACAATTTGTGGGACTGACTTACTTACTTACTTTGGTGTGATACCACTTTTGCATTCTCCTTGTGTTTGGAAAATAGAAGTATCATCGCAAACCTAGTGGTCTTCTGATTTCCGCCTTCTTGCGTCAGGACTATTAGTTTCTCGACCAGTCCATAACAATAAATTAGCGACGAGTACATAACAGTTTGGCGGTGGGGTTACCAAGGCATCGTAGCCAACATTCACCTTGCAAACCTAGAGAATCGACCTTTGTAAGATGTGGTTGATGAATTAGGATTTTAATCTCAATACATAGACCATACATTTCTGGCCTGGAAAAATGAGGATGAAGCAAAGAACATTGTTGACAACTTTAACAATGTTCATCCTGCAATAGATTTTACCATCAAGAAAGAAAGACTCTAGTATTTCATTCCTAGAAGTCCTTATGACTAGAAAAGATGATGGTACAATAATAATAATAATAAGTGTATATTGGAAAACCTACATCAAGCAGTCAGTATACTCATTTCTTCAGCTTCCTACCTTCAAATTGCAAATAAAATCTAATAAAGTGCTTGGTCAGCCATAGAGCAATAGCTATCTGCTCTGGTGAATATTTTAATGAAGAGCTTAATATCTTTCATTAAACAGTTGCTGAGGGAGATCGGTTTCACCCACAAAAATTCATCGATAAGAACATGAATCAAAATTCAAGGCAGGTCAAAGTGCCAATCAACAGTTCTCAGGAGGGAAAGTCTTCTTCCTACGACTTCACTTCCTCTGTGATGATAACATCAGTGAAATTTCAACACAAGGCCTAAGGAGTAGGGTGGTAAAACGAAGAGCATTCATTGCTGCTGAAGTATGCTGTGTCTTCATAACCAAGCCCCACTTTCAGTGGGTTAAAGATAAACTGCCTAATTTCAACTCTTCTTTCTATGTGTACCTGTCAATTTAAATGCTCCTATTGAGGCGGTTAGTTTCATAGGCCTTATAATTAGGCGTGTTTATCGTCGGATTTTCAAACACCACCATTTTACATAGAGGTTAGGTAAGGGAGAAAAAAAAGTTTATTCATAGTTCCACACTGTCTTATCTTGCACGTACAGAATACAAAATTGATGTTAACAAAGTGGGTTTCATCTACCGTATACCAACCAAGCTTAATTTTACCTCAAGAGTTCGTCTATTACATATTGCTGAGGCTGGCTGTTGGAATCCACCTTAATTAAGAAGCCTAACTTATGTGTTTAAAAGAAGAAACTGGTTCAAACACTTTTCTTCACTCCCCTGGCCATCAAGATTTCAATGATACTTAATCTGCTGTTTTAGAGATTTCTTTAATTTTATTTGATGTTCTGCTTACTACTATATTTTTATGCTTATTATAACTTATACATCTTTCTTGACATGTGATCTTAACAAATCGATAGTATTTAAAAAACACCAATATAGTTAATGACGATTATTCTAGAATATTATGTGTATATAGGAAATTCTTCGCTAAGGTTTTCTTTTGTCTGCTAAATATCTGAGTGAATATTTTCGCTATATTGAAACATCTCCAGCGTTGAAGACACCGAATTTCAGCTGGCGACTCGACCCCACGTCACACAGTTCTGTAGTGGGAAACTTTACGAGGGGGTAAAAATGCTTGACAAAATAATTAATCAGTCAAGGATATTATACCTGGCAGGGTTATCATCATTTTTGATTCCAGTATGCAGCCGACTGGCGATTAAACATCAGAGTAAAGAAAAGTCAATAGTGAATGTTGTTTCTCCATTTTTGTCCCTGACCAGGTTAAAATAGTTAGAGAACCCACCGAATCAGTGGAAAACAGGAATTATACATCCATGGCATTCTTCAGATGACAAGTAGACAGTGGACTAGTTTAACGACAGAAGATAAGGGCCAGGCAACAAACATATCGTTTGTTGTGCAAAATCAACAGATATTTATCGATTTTTATGCACATTATTATTCGTTATAGTTAGCAGAGAAGTAACGTCTTCTAATTGGTTGTTTTCCTGCTCAAGGTTATTCTATCATTTCTTTGTTGCCATTTTTTAGACAGTCCGGTGATATACAATTGGTGATATATCTGCGAATGGTATCCGCCCACGCTAAGTCTGTTGTGATTGGTTGTTGAGTTCCTCAAGGTTAGGTTTTGTTCTTGGTTTTGTTCTCATGACCCCGATTCGGAACGCAAACACTGACGTAAATTGTCAATACTGGTTTGCAGACAGCTCTCAGCACACTAGGAGTTAGGCTTTTTGTCAGCTTAGTTAGATTATGAGCCAGTAGGCAGGGGAGATTTACCAACAAACTTGACTGGGAACTCCATTCACCATTTCTATGCATTGAAGTCAGTCTGTAACCTGGAGACATATCTTGTAATTTATCAATTTTCATTTCTTGTTTTTATTCCCGTTGTGAATCACTTGACATTTACTGTTGAATAAGATATGGATGGATGCATATATGGATGGCAGTATTTATCGATTGCCTGTCTACTTGTACATATATGTAATTAACTGTTTCTATTATAGGTACATTTGTGAGTAATGATGTTATGTCCAGAGATATCATGGTTTTATTATTGACTCGATTATATGTCTATAAGAGATTGAATAAATTTACATTTTCTAATTTATATTATCTCCTTTGTTCTCCTCTAGCAAAATCAAAAGTCTGTGAAGAGCTGTTCTGTTCCAATACCCTTCATATTGTATTAATGATGGGTTTAGTCGGTATACTAACTTGTCTAATGGGTGTTATGGGTATGCTGTTAGCCAGAAAATATCGTCATCGTTTACATCAAACACGTGATACCTTTCTACGATCTAAAACAAAAATGAAGCCGTCTAATCATTCATCTGCACCTCCTCCACCAGCTCCTGCTGCTCCTGGTACTGCCGCTGCTGGCGGTCATCACTACAGAGGTGTCCATCATCATCATCAGGATCAACAGTGTTTACAATGCTCTGAAACAAAAACACAATCGTTATTATCGAAAAGTTATTATAATCCAATAATCCAGTCGACAATTACTCAACATTTACTTCATTATAAACAGCATTCAGAACATCAATCAGAGAATGGTGTATTAAAGAGTTTGTTAACAGTTGACAATAATATCGATACTACTATTAACGGTAGCAGTAATAAAATTAGTAGTAGTACTACTACTACTAATAATAATAATAGTGATAACAGTAATATGAATCCATCATGTACTGTTGGTATGAAAGATTGTTGTAAATATTGGTTGAATGAACATTCATACGCTAATCCACTACTGATAAAAAACTCTTCTAATGATTTATCCCAATATCATTCACATTTGTGTCATCAACAGGGACAACATGGACAACAAGTACACACAGCTATACAACCCCAACAACAACATCAGTTGTCGTCATCTTCATCAGGAGCAACACCAAGTCATTGTTCATGTCTAAGTGATATTGTATTGAATGATAGGACAAAAGGTATACAGAATTCACATAATTACTATACATTTAAACGTTATACTACCCTACCACCGACAACCACGCTGACACCATTCAATACAACAAGTTTTATGAAAGAAAATGAAAGTGGCCTAGTAAACAAGACGACAACATTTCTACTAGAACCGATGAATCCTCTAATTCATACTAATGCTATTACTACTAACAATATCACTGGTAATATACATGATAGACTGACAACGACACCATATCCAACAACTTTTACAAATAATAATAATAGTAATGATGATAACAGTAAGCATTCAATGTTCTTTTGTTGTCCAGAACAATTAACTAATCGTCATGATGCGTCTTTGCTTCAGCATAAACATAAACAATTGTATTCTCAGGCGGAACGATATGGTAACCTTGATTCTGCTGTTAGCGGCGGCGGTAATGATGAAGGTTTTAAGAATGTAAACTCTGTATATAATACTAATAATAATAGTAATAGTAACGACAATAAACCTGAGATTTCTTTACATGAATATAAAAAATTAACTAATCCTTCGAATGATACAGTTTATTTTGGTGTAGATTATCCTAATTCTAGTTATACAATAAATCCATTAGATTTAACACTTTGTACAGATAGTTTACACAAATTACAAGCGCAAACACAATCAAACACAATATTACAATCAATACTGGGTCAACCGCAACCACAACAACAACACCAACATCAGCAACAACACCAACAATATGTAGAAGGCTGAAGAGTATATGGCAAGTCGTATAGTGAGTGATATTCTGTATAATTATAAGAATTCTTATTCCCACCCACTCCCCGGTTCTTAGTCTATCTGTTTTCAACATAGAACTCTGCGTCGATGTGCAGCAGTTCAAGTCGCCACACTCCCTCCATGTAGCATATAAAGCAAGAGAAGAAAGTACAAGAAATGTATAATAGAGACAGTAAACAGAGATACGAGGCAAAAAGAATAGTAATAACGAAGAACAATATAGTTTTATTGGGTATTATAAGTCATTGAGAACAATTTTGAGCCATATCACCGATTGTCTCCAGCCTTCATTGGTTTTTACCGTCTTGATGACCCGAACCAGGAAGTCTACATCTTCCTACATGGATATCATTGACTGCTGGCACCATGTTTTGGTTTGACCACCGCTAGCTCTTTTCTAACCTGACCCCATGTCAGCTAACATTGTGCAACATGCGTAACACATGTCCTAACCATCTCAGTCGATGTAACTTCACAGTATCGTCGATTAATTTCCCCTCCAACTTACCCAACACTCGACCTAAGCCTAACCTCAATATTGCCCACCCTATTATACCACGCGCGCACTTATAATCAAAGACAGCTAGTCTTTTCATGTCTTCCACTCCCAATGGTCAGGTTCTCAGTGAAATATAGGAGGGGTTTTCAGCATCTCCACTTCATCCTGTTCTCTGCTGTCTTTTAAACCTAACTCTACTATCTCTCCAAACCTCTCATTCTCCTCACACGATCTCCTCCGTGTCACTCTCATACTCACAATCGAATCATCGTTCCCCCTTTTTATGCTGCACCTAAGGACCTGGAACGTGGTCATTCAGCAGTATCCTCAAAGTATTTCCAATCGACCACCATTTTCTTCTGCATATTTCTTGAGTTTCAGGTTCTTGTTGGGTTCGATTCCAATATTAGTTCATTGCCACTTATCTTTCTAGACGGTCACCTGACCTACAGTATAGAATCAGCGAAGGCAGCTGTTGATGAAAGTTGGAAGCTGCTCTTCGGAAATGCATTTCGTGATGTAACAAGTTTCTGAACAATACAGAAGCATTGATTTGACATTAGTGTTACAGGTCCTCATCTTGTTCTCTTTATGTTGAGTGCAGAGTTTAAATTAGTGAAGGTGTGTCTTCTTGGTTTTAACATTCTCAAATGTGCCTCTTGCCTACACAGTTAAGTTGGTTCTTCAGGTTTAGTGCTTATTTCTAGACAGATTTTTTGATACTGGACACATCTTATTCAACCTTAGTGGAATACACATTAGTGACATTTACAATGGTATATTTTTAAGTCAATCAGTTCGGCAACTTCTTTTACGTTTCAATACAAACGGTGACTTCATATGTAGGCACATTTACTCTATAACAAAATAAAAACGGTGTACAGTCGGATTTTTTTAATTTAACTTTTCTAATAATTTCTTTTACAAATGAGTATTGTTCACTCAAGTCATCACAGATTGAATTAATCCTTCTTGGTAAAATTATAGAAGGAAACACATCAGAGGGTTTGGCTTCAACAGTTATGATTGAAGCATATTAAGGTAAAACGTCGAGATATTCTTAACCTATATTACTCATGAAAACATCCAGCTGAATGCCTTCACTACTGAAAGAGAAGAATAATGCTATAAAATTTTCATTTGATGAAATCACCAAAACATTCAAGTACAGTCTACACAAGTCGATTGGTTCAACAAATTCATCATTCAAGTGTTGGTTTGTAGGGATTTGATTGGTTTCAGGATTTCATCAGGAACTGACGTCGGTATTAGAGAACCATTGGAAAACCTGGGAGTACTGAACAGCAAACTGTTTCGTCCTAGTTTGTTTCTTAATTGTACTATTTTCTTCCCTCACCCTCACCCCATATTAAATGTTTTCCCCTTATTACCACTGTTGTTAACCCCTCTCATAGATGAATTGTGATCAAGAGTTGACCGAATGGTTGCGAAATAATTCTCCGCCGAGTGAGAAGTAGACAATTATAAAACCATATTTATAAAATCTCAGCGAAAGTGAAATGATTAATTTCAACGTTTCTTGTGTTTGGCAATCTGCTCCGAACTTCTTCAGGGAAATTATAATCGAAATTAACACAACAAAGGTTTATATATAAAAGGGACATCTCTTGTATTTGAAACTTTGTCTAGTCATGAGTCATGAAACAGGCATCAACATGAATAATAAACAGAATTGTATGAACTGTGATCGAAATTTGATCTCAGACTTTCAAAATTAGTCTACTTTTGTTAAAATATATGTGTGGTGTGTGTATGTGTGTGTGAATGAACAGTCATAAAACATTTGTTAGTCTCTCCATAAGAAGACGTAGACAATCGGGAATTTGACCAAGTATGACTAATTGTTGATACATATCCAATTTTATTTATTAGTCAGGATTTTCCATGCATCAGCTAACATGACACCTTCACATCTATTCAAACTGTTGGGATTCACACATATATGTAGGGCTTCTGCAGTCAGTCTTTCTTTATACGAACCAAAACCTTTCTGTAAAACCTTAGTCTTATCAAAGTCGATTTTGTGTCCCGTTTCTATAGAATGCAGTGCAATTGCTGAGTTGTTTTCTAGCTTCTTCAAGACTTCAGAGGTCTTTGGAACCACCTTTAGACATTGCTTTTGTCCTTTCACTCTTACATTTACCTGTCTGAAAGATTCTCCTACATATACGGCGTTACAATCCCCACAATTGATCTGGTATACACAATTCTGCTGGTTTTCTTGTTCTATTTTATCCTTAACATTCACCAGTAATGAGCGTAAGATGTAAGTTGCACGAAAATATATTCTTATTTTATGATCGTGAAGGATTCGCTTTATTTCATCGGATGTTTCTTTGAGGTAAGGAATCCCCGTTGTACTAATCCAATTCTTAGCAGCAGGTTTCGATTCATCCTTAACTTCACATTTTTAAATATCGTTTTATGAAGTCTTAAGAATAATTATTTGAATAAAGAGTGTACTGAACCAATTTTAGTTCTTTGCTAATATCTTCCACCTCAGTAACTAGACGTTTGGCTCTGTTGATCAGATTCTTGGCCACAGTTACTTTGGTGGTAAATGGGTATGCGGAATATTAGTCTAGGTATCTATCCGTACTTTGCCGTCTAATTTTCTTTTTACTAAACAGTCCATGAATGCCAAGTCATTCTCATCGGATTCAACCTCTTTGGAAAACACTTAATTTCATGACTGATGACTGGACAAAGTTTCAAAAACAAGAGATGTCCCTTTTATATATAAACCTCTGTTATGTTAATTTTGATTATAATTTCCCTGAAGAAGTTCGGAGAAGAATGCCGAACGAAACGTTGGAATTACGCATTTCAATCTCGTTGAGATTTTACAAATCTAAAAATCTTTAAGATCATAAAATGTTGAAAAATTGAATCATTACATAATTTTACTAAATATACATGTGTCAAAGTGGCAATATTTCATCGTTTTTATATGAGCAACATCAATTTTTAGCCAAGTTGACAGCCCCGAAGACCTTTGAAAGTGTTAAGCTAACTGTGTATCTCATACTCTTAAAAAAAATAGCATCTTTGTTTCTGAAGCATTTTTCTTTCATTATTTTACAGATGTACATCCCAGAAAGAGACGTACACACAGAAGAGGGTAAACTGACCAAAAAAATGAACCAGAAACTGAAATATCATAAACACAATCACTTCAGAAATGAAACGTATTCACGACTATAGACTACTTATAATTCATTGACAGTCATTTATAAACGAGAAAAGAATATCTTGGAACCAATAGCACTCTTTATGGTTGTGTAACCTTAACAAAATAATTCTTAAGCCCTAGAGATTACCAAATACTACCAACACATACATGCACACATAGTGACACACACAGACACACTCACACATGAATCACAAATGCACACTTACATTATTAATACTTCCTGTATACTTAGTCGATGTTGTTGCTGTTGTTCCTTTCTGAATGCACCACTAATTTAGTCGTCGCTGCCGTATTATTATTGTTATTATTATTATTAATCAGTTGGCAGATGTATTCTTCTGAAGTCTTCAACTCTCCAGTTTTTATCAACAAAACAAAACTTAGAGAATCTTCATGAGACTGAAATATCTATTGTAATCTATTTTAAAATAACCGCGGTTTTCGGTTGTTTGTTTTTGTTCTTTCTGGACCATTTAGGTACACACACACACACACACACTGTAATTTTTATTAATTTGTAGTTATTTTTTTTAATATGTGAAATATAAGAAAAATATTTCAAAAAAGAGAGGTTTATTTAATATTTCAATAATTATTACTTTTAATTGAATTTTAGATTTTCCCGTCCATTGATTGATTGGACCGAAGTGCTCGGTCTACTCAGGTTGACATGTCTGTTGGCTTCTTGTGCAGATGCTTCGACGATGTTTGGGCACTTAATTAGTATTTAACTGGTGGATGGTGACTAGCAGTGGAATCCAGGATAACGCGCGCTTTGTCCTATTTGGGACTCGTCAGCCGGATGTGCCTGCATTCCCCCAGTGAGTGATCATGTCAACATGAGACCAAGCACTTCGGTCAAATCAATCGACGGCAGAATCGAAAATTCAAATAAGCAATTAATATGACCTGTTGCACAAGAGATGGCTCTCGTGGCCCAAGTGTTCTAGTGGATAACGCTTTGGCATTTGAAGCTATTGGCACTGGGTTCGAGCCCAGGTGGTGGGAACATGATCACTCACTGGGGAATGCAAGTACATCCAGTTGACGAGTCCTAGATAGGACGAAATGCGCTTTATCCTGGATTCCACCGCTAGTTACCATTCACCAATTAAATTATTATTTTTTATGGATGAATGGTAGTCTTCATATTCTTAGCTGCGGAAAAGCTGGAATTTTGTAGACTGGTATAGTGTGCCGTATAAAGTTGACAAGTGAAGTGTTCGATGTGACCAGTAAACTAGGAGACTCGCAAATGACCAGTCAGTGCATTTAGTTCATTTCTTCAGGGATTAGTCGTAGTGTGACGTGTCCTACTGATAAGATTTATCAGTAAAACATAGAGAAATGTTCATCGCAGCATAAAAACATTAAATACCAAGGAGATAGATTTAATATCAGCGAAAGCAAATGATACAGCGTTGTTTGGAGATACGTGGGAGACGTGAAAGGAACGCAAAGAAATGTGCACAATACGAAGGGGTAGAGGGTAGAAGTAGCCCAGGAGCCAAGATCTGTGAAAACGGTGCGTTCAAAAGATACCAAATCGCTAGTAAACATTCCTTACCAAGTCTTTCGACTTTCACTGTTGCAATATACAACGAAATAGAACTGCCCGTGCCGATAGTAATGGGTCTAATAAATTAAAACGCTTGAAGTTGCAACAATTCTTAAGATGTGTACTGCACACTGTCCTTTAGTGGTTCAGTGGTCGAATACTCTGCTACCTTGCAGGTAGTCTGACATCAGATTCCTATAAGACACCTAATAAGCCCGAAAAGAGGAGAGGTTGCATGTTAGTATAGCATCCCCAGCCAGTAGGAATTCAGATTCAAATTTATTGGTTGAGGATAGGCGGCTTGGAGCCTATGTTAATCCTCCTCTAGTAAATTTCTGTGACTGTCCAAACCCTTCTTGAATGAATCAGTTGAGGTTGCAGACACCACTTCTTCTGGGAGTCAGTTCCAAGAGTTGATGACCAGGTGTGAGAACCAGTACCCAACAGCAATATGATTTCTTCTTGGCTTTTGAACTCTTCTGCTATGTCCTTTAAGGTGTTCCGACCTGGTGGGAAGGAAAACAGAGAATAGGTCAGGTCCGTATTCATTATTTAAAATTTTAAACAGTGTGATTAAATCTCCTCTCTGCCTATGGAATAACAGGGAGACGAGGTTTAAACTGTCTAGTCTTTCCTCGTATGATAAGTTAGCTATGCCGTGAACCATACGTGTTTCCTTCCTTTGAACCATTTCTGAAATGTGTGAGCCCCCTTTTAGACAAGGACTGGTTCCCTGGATGCAGTTTTCCAGTCTGAACCTCGCTAGAGATGTATATAGGGAGGTGAACATATCTCTGGTGATTCTAGTAAAGGCTCTGCAAATTGCCCATAAGAACCTGAAACTACATGCAGCCACCGCGCGACAGTGTTCTGTAGGTTTTAAGTCGTGGCTAATTATGACACCTAAGTCCAAGTGAGTCTGAACCGATGGAAGTGTTATTCTCTATAGTTCGTAGGAGCTCGTGCTTGCTTGTCCGATGCGCATGGTTCCACATTTTGCCGCATTTATCAGGAGCATCCATTCTATGGACCACTCTAACAACTTGTTGAGGTACTCTTACAACGTGGACTTATCACTGTTGCCCTTCAGTTCTCGCCAAAATTTTTAAGCCATCTGCGTATAGGACCATAAGGGAGTCGGTGAGCAGAGATATCTCATTGATATACGAAATAAATAGGAGAGGTTCGAGTACCGTGCCCTATGGCACCCCACTACACATTACCGTCCAGGAGGAGAGTTTCCAGTTGATCCTAACCCTCTGCCTCCTATCTATAAGGAATTCCCTGAGCCAGTTTATCTATCTATCTATCTATCTTGATTCTGACTTTGTATGCGTCAGTAGTCATCAGTGAGAAGACTCACTTATTCTCTTCCCAAAAAAATTGCATAGATTTGTAATGTCGTTCGACACCAAGTAATACACAAAGTCACAGTCTCAATGTGAGTTTATTGGTTCTCAAAAAGGCCGGGGGGGAACACAGATTTTCAACTATCTCATCTTAATTTTTGTTAAAAGTACCTTCATATTTAGTAGATTAGGGAAAAAACGATAGAGCCGACTTACTGTAAGTCTTCACATGTACAATGAATACAAAATAATTTATGAGTAAACAGGGGAATAGAGACGTGTGAATCAATCAGCTTAGAGTACTGATGTTTCAGCTGAAGACAGAGGAGAGATTTGTCGATATTATCCGTCATTAGTTCGAGGTTACGAAAATCACTATATAAGCAGAATAATAATAATACAACAAAGCATGCATGAAAAAGACTTAAATAGTGAAGAAAATTTTTTCTTTTCGACAATTCATTTTCATAAGCTGCCACAGTAGTCATAATTATCTATAGTTTTGGTTTGTAAGGATTAGTTTTGTTTTCACGAGTTGATCATGGATTGATATCAGTTAGAGAACCAGTTGAAAACCAGCCACGGGGTTACTGGAAAGCCAGCTGTTTCGTCAACCTAGTTTGGGAATCTTTCGGCAGTACGCACCCACCCCATGCCAGGGTTAGGACCTAGGACCACTCCAGTTACAAGGAAAGATAGCTTGTATACTATTCAGCCACCCACTGGGACTCGACACCACAATGGCCACAGCCCATGAATTCTAACTTCTACCAATTCGTGATGCATTTAGCGCGACTTACTTACTTTTACTTTACTTTACTTCGGCTATCTCCTACGGGAGGATGAGCCGGCTTCATGAACGAAGAGAGTTCATGAAGTTTCATGGAAATTAGGTACAAGTGATGTCCCCAGCATCACTCGGCCTTTTGTTTGAGAGTGCAGCTCTAGCCTTTACACAACCAAGTGTGACCAACAAGGCAGTAGGAGTGGAGTAGGGAGTCCACTATCCATTGGCAGCCGGTGACCGGTGTTCGGTTCATACGCCTTTTTGAATGGGGCCAGACATCCAGGACATCCAACAAGCCCTTTGTCCATACGTCTGCCGGTGAGCTCCAGTGAGCTTCATACGCCAGTCGTTGGAGGTTTGGAATCAGGGTTTAGCCATCTCCCCTAGACTGTCATCCAATGGACAGTCAACCCGGTGAAGAGCGCCGGGCATCCGCTTTCGCACCAACCAAGGTTGTCGGTGGGACATCCATCCTCACACGTGACATCTGGATGAACCTCATTGGTCACCGCTTCCCACTAGAACTCCATCCTATAGCAAGTCCCTCACTAGCGAGCATCAGATTAATTTTCTAACTAACACTTACAAACCAAACTAAAAAGTAAATCATCACATCACAAGAAAGTTTGAATTCCAAGTCAACAATAAAAATGATCATGACAGTAATTGTCAGTAGGGAGATACGATTATATCATCATTTAAGGAGAATTCAAATGAGTTCAGTTCATATTAAAACTTTTACTGAATTGATGTTGTCTAGTAGGAGAGAGAGATGATGAAAAGCTTCACAACCATCTGAGTAAACGCAACCAATTAAAAATCACCTAACTGAGCTACAAATCTTCTAAATTATTGGTGAAATTTCATAAAAATGGTGACGTGATATTAATATGTGTATATATGTGTAAAACTTGAGCACTGTGGTATTAAGTAATTCCATAACAACTTGTTTGTTGTGCGTCGGTAGCACAGTGGCACAGGACTCTCGCCGACTATGCACATGGTCCGGGGTTTGAGCCCACGCCGACGCACACCTGATATCTATGGCCGGCCTGCGAATTTTGGGCTACCGATATCCACGCTGAAAATTTCATACTTGTACCAAAAGTACGGTGTGGAATCAAGCTGTAATCAAAAATAAAATAAAATAAATAAATAAATATATCACACAGTCAGTGAAACAGTATTATTATCTACTGGATGACGTTTTGAACTCTATTTATTGTTTATAATCATATGAATAATAATCACGTAGACTGGAAATTTGGGTTTTATAGTTTCTTTTGTTCTCTCCCATTTGTTGTCTTTGGGGTAGAAGAATTTCCCAGATATCTAGGACAGGTACTAAATCATTCCTATTACACGTATTTACAACTGATTAGATAAACCGGCAAATTCAATTTTAAACAAGCTTTGTCGGTTAAAGTATCTATTCTATGCAGCATTCAAAGCAAAACAATTTAGTTTATCTAATACCCTGCCTGCAATGATTGTCAGGTCAAATACATAGATGAAAGAAGTAGAACAGGATCAGTCAGTCAGACTAGCCGGGCATAAAACACTATCAGCAAAATCTAGATTAGTTGACCCGAATAAGATAAGAAATCTAGAGAATAATTTTTTTATCCATAGTACTACATGCAGTTGCACACAGCCATACAACAGGATGGTCTGGGATAAGATGACAGTTTTAAAATCTAATGTAACAGGGTGAATGGAGGGGGAGATTGATAATAACAGAAGCTTTGTTTATCGAATCAACTGAAGAGAGTACGCGCAACAGGAATGATTCAACACCTGTCCACCCAGATATCTGGAAGATTCTACTACTACTACCCCTACAACGACGAAAAGCAAAGAATAAAGAGAACT